AATTGAGCACCGGATCACTTTCAAAGTGATGGTACTCACCTTTAAGGCCTTGCATGGTCTGGGGCCGATGTACCTGAGGGACCGCCTCATCACCCCCTACCAACCCCAGAGATCCCTCCGTTCTGAGGACCAAGATCTATTGGAGGTCCCCAGTGTCAAGACCTTGCGTCTAGCGGCAACCAGACGCAGAGCCTTCACAGCAGTGGCGCCATCAGTCTGGAATGCTCTGCCACCTGAAGTTCGTGCCCTGCGGGACTTACCAGCTTTCGGCAGGGCATGTAAGACATACCTGTTCCGACAGGCTTTTAATGTTTGATACTGTTGTTTTAAATTGTTTTAAATTGCTTTTAAACTTTGTTAGATTTTAGCTATTCTTGTAAGCCGCTCCGAGCCCCAGGGGAGTGGCGGCATATAAGTTTAAATAATAAATAAATAAATAAAATCATTTGGTTCTTAACGGAGAAGAAAACAAGCTTGCTCCCTCCTCCTGTGGCTTCCTCTCACATATTTATACATGGCTATCATATCTCCTCTCAGCCTTCTCCTCTTCAGGCTAAACATGCCCAGCTCCTTAAGCCGCTCCTCATAGGGCTTGTTCTCCAGACCCTTGATCATTTTAGTCGCCCTCCTCTGGACACATTCCAGCTTGTCAATATCTCTCAATTGTGGTGCCCAGAATTGGACACAATATTCCAGGTGTGTCTAACCAAGGCAGAATACAGCATGGGTAGCATGACTTCCCTAGATCTAGACACTAGGCTCCTATTGATGCAGGCCAAAATACCATTGACCTTTTTTGCCGCTACATCACATTGTTGGCTCATGTTTAACTTGTTGTCCACGAGGACTCCAAGATCTTTTTCACATGTACTGCTCTCGAGCCAGGCCTCATCGTCCTCCATTCTGTATCTTTGCATTTCGTTTTTCCTGCCAAAGTGGAGTATCTTGCATTTGTCACTGTTGAACTTCATTTTGTTAGTTTTGGCCCATCTCTCTAATCTGTTAAGATCGTTTTGTATTCTGCTCCTGTTCTCTGGCGTATTGGCTCTCCCTCCCAATTTGGTGTCGTCTGCAAACTTGATGATCATGCCTGTTCTGGTACAGCGGTACCAGGGGCTCCAACTTTATTTGCCTTGTTTAAATGTTTGTTTGCACCACAGACTCTGATACTCCACAGCTTCTCACTCCTGCGTCCATTTTGACTCAAAAGACTTCTGAATGGCAGGAAATTATGTACCCTGTCCCCGAAGGATCTTACAAAGCACTCTGGAAACAAACTCAAACTCTTGCCAACCAGTTTTGGAGACGCTGGAAGGCAGAGTACCTGGCTCAACTCCAGAGTCGCAGGAAGTGGAAAGACTCTAAGCCCAACCTCCAAGTTGGGGACATTGTTTTGCTCAAAGACTCTCTACCTTGTTTCAAGTGGCCTTTGGCCAAAGTTACAGAGACCTTGCCAAGTCCGGATGGATTGGTAAGGAAGGTAAAGCTAAGAGTGTGCCAAAATAGCAATGTGTTGCACAGACCAGTTTGTGATATTGTGTTGTTACTGAATGGGTAATTGTTTATTGCCAAATTAGATTTGCCATGTGTTATAGTGTAGATTTCTTATCAGTGAGAAATCTAGGCCAGGAGTGTTCTGGTACAGCGGTACCAGGGGCTCCAACTTTATTTGCCTTGTTTAAATGTTTGTTTGCAATCCCAGGCTTGGGATTTTGCAGCAGGGTGGCTTCCTGTTATAATCTGCAGACATGGGGCAAGCCCCCTGTCCATCTTCATTTAGCTTTGGTTCCACCCCTTAGTCTGGGCTTTGGGAAAATAGAGGAACCATTTTGGTCAGTTACGCACAAGGAAACCAGTCTTTAGGACGCAGATCAGCTTGTCCAGTAGGAAAGGCTTCATTCCTCAAAGCCATCCGGGGATCATCCAGAGGTGATCCGGGGTCCATCCAGTGACCATCCAGGGGTCATCCAGTTCCAGGGAAACAGAAGGAAAAGGTCCCAAAGGCTCCGGCTGAGAGCTCACAGCCTCTGCCTCACAGCACCAGAGGGGAAAACAGCCCTGAAGTTCCCACAGGACAGCACTACAGAACCACAGAATTCCAGCTAAGTATCTTCTAGCTTCGTCTGGTAGGTTACTTGGTTTCCAGACGCATTTGGGGATCGGCAGTTATACCCAGACCAGCGAGGCCTAGGCGATGGACGACCTGGGAGAGATTATAAAGGGTTCTTCCTCATGTTGAGATGGTATAGTTAAACCAAGTCAGTGCCAGTCTCTTAAAGACTAGTATAAGAAAGCCTTGAAGTGTTGTTTGAAGATTTGTTCCTTAATAAAGACTTTTTTGTACTTTTAAAGAACTCTAAAGCCCATTACTTCTGGAAGTCTCTAACAATCTCTCTTCGGGTACCTCAGCTTCCCACTGGGTTTAAAGTGTGCATTCTATAGAATAAAGACATTTTGTTCGGACCCAGTGGCGACAGAACAATGCCTTCTAACCCTTCATCTAAGTCATTAATAAAGATGTTGGAACAGGACCGGGTCCAGGACGGAACCCTGCTGATGGCACTCCGCTCGTCACTTCTTTCCAGGATGAAGAGGAAGCATTGGTGAGAATCACCCTCTGGGTTTGTCCATTTAACCAATTACAGATCCACCTCACCGTAGTTTTGCCTAGCCCACATTGGACTAGTTTCCTTGCCAGAAGGTCATGGGGGACCTTGTCAAAGAAGGCCTTCTTGAAATCCAGGTACGCTACATCCACGGCATTCCCGCATCTATCCAGCTTGTAACTCTATCGAAAAAAGAGATCAGATTAGTCTGGCATTACTTGTTTTTGATAAATCCATGTTGACTATTAGCGATGACCGCATTTGTTTCTAAGTGTTTGCAGACCACTTCCTTAACAATCTTTTCCAGAATCTTGCCTGGTATCGACGTGAGGCTGACCGGACGGTAGTTGTTTGGGTCATCCTTTTTTCCCTTCTTGAAGATTGGGACCACATTGGCCCTCCTCCAATCTGCTGGAACTTCTCCCGTTCTCCCAGAACTCTCAAAGATGATTGCCAATGGTTCCGAAATGACTTCCGCTAGTTCCTTCAATACTCTTGGGTGTAGTTGATCTGGCCCTGGGGACTTGAACTCATTTAGAGTGGCCAGGTATTCCTGGACGATTTATTTCCCAATTTGGGGTTGGATGTCCTCTAATCCCTCATCCACTTCATCGTGCTGAGGTTAAAGATGACTTTCTTTTTGTAAGAAGAACCAATCATTGCATGCAGGGAGAACTACAATTACCGAATTGTTGGGTTACTGTCCCCCCACCAACTCCATCAGTTTTCAATGTTGCCCAGGTAGTGTACCAAGTTTGGTTCAATTCCATTGTTGGTGGAGTTCGGAATGCTCTTTGATGTGGGTGAACTACCAATTCCAAATGACATACTGAATATTTGTGCCAAGTTTGGTCCAGATCCGTAGTTCTTTGTGTTCACAATATTCTCCAGATGTAGATGAACTACAACTCCAAAACTCAAGGTCAATGCCCACCAAACCCTTCCAGTATTTTCTGTTGGTCATGGGAGTTCTATGTGCCAATATTGGTTCAATTCCATCGTTGATGGAGTTCAGAATGATATTTAATTGTAGGTGAACTATAACTTCCAGCAACTACAACTCCCAAATGACAAAATCAATTCCTCCCAACTCCACCAGTATTCAAATTCGGGCATACTGAATATTCGTGCCAACTTGGGTCCAGATCCATAGTTGTTTGGGTTCACAGTGCTCTCCAGATGTAGGTGAAGTACAGCTATCCCAAATCACTGCCAATTCCTCTCAAACCCCTCCAGTATTTTCTGTTGGTCATGGGAGTTGTGTGTGCCAAGTTTGGTCCAGATCTGTCATTCATGGGGGTCTCAGTGGTCTGTGGAAATCCAAGCTGGTTGGGGTCACCACAACATGAGGAACTGTATTAAGGGGTTAGGGAATTAGAAAGGTTGAGAATCACTGCTTTAGGTCTTCCTGTGGGGAAAGATTATGGGAGCTGGAGTTCAAAGAAATAACTTTGAACGAAATAATGTAGTAACACAGGACTCTTTATGACATTTTGGACATTGGGTTTATATATACGTGATCAAGCACTGGCTTCAGAAGTGACCAGTAAACGTTACAGTGGTGACGGATAATCAATACACATTTTCCTTGTTTCTTTCTAAATCCTTGTCTACAGAGATGAACACAAACTCATGAGATCCTACAAGGAAGAACGGAAGGACTTGTTTTGGAGAACAACTCCCAGGGTCCTCCAACCCTTCTGCCAGGCCTTTCTGCAAGGTTTGTGGGAGTTGAAGTCCAAGAGAGCCATTCCCTCTGATCTCTGGGGCAGTGATTCCCACGCTCTATTCCTCCAGTATTTCTTGGACTTCAACACCCAGAAGCCTCAACCGCCTTGACCCAAGATCAGGGATTATGGGACAGGAAGTCCCCAGCAAGAGGAAGGCCAGTGCTTGGGAAGGGAGGCTCCTGAGAAGGGACAATACTTCCACGGCTGAACAGCTCTTACCATCACAAAATGCTTCCTAATGTTTGGTGGAAGCTTCTTTCTTGCTTTATATTTTAGTCTCCAGCGAAGCAGGAAAAACTTCCCCTTTTCTCCTCAATGGGACATCCTTCGAAATAGTGGCTTTCTTGTCCCCTCGGCCTTACCCCCCTCCACACTAAACATCTCCAGCTCCCTCAGCCATTCCCTATCACCCTTCTCTGTAAACATTCCAGCATCTCACAATCTTGCTTGAATTGTGCGGCCCAGAACTGGACGCAGGGTCATTCCAGGGGAGTCCTGATCCAAGTCTAGAAGAGAGTGGGCTCAAACTTACCCAAATCTAGACCTCACCCTCCCATTGGGACAGCCTTGAATCACAATGGCTTTTTAAAGCTTATGTATCACACACACACACACACACACACACAAAATTTATTCAAAGACAAAAAAGAGAAACAAAACAAAGTATGTTTATACAAATTATAATTTTGGTACATTTTTAAAGGTACTACTTAACAAATATAAAGTGAACAAGGAAACACAACTTGCACAATAAGAATAAAACTAACAGGCAACAAACACTAGTCTACAAGCCTCTCTCTCACTATAGGATTTTTATCTCTGTTTCCTTTAAATGGTGTTCTATACTTCATCAATTTAATTGTCCATCTCGACTGATGGACGTGGATCTTCATCAGCCATTGTCCCCATTCTTTGTCTTCCATTCTCTGCAGTGCTGTGAGATGTGCTGTGTATCCGAATGGACCCTTTGCCAAAGGTGGGGATTAAACCGTCTCAAGTACAGAAAGGGGGTTCACTCTAAGCAGGGATAAGTACACACAAAGCAAGGATGAAGGTCTCGTGTTCCAGGGCTCTCCTGGTATAAAGCCTAAGGAACACAAGATATGCCAAAACCATATTTGCTTATAAGAAAACTAAAGTCTTGAGTCTGTATTTTTTTGTTTGTTGTGTCAGAAGCGAAATGAGAACATACTATAAGTCGCTTCTGGTGTGAGGGAAGTGGACATCTATAAAGACACCCGGATGGGTTACCATCCTGCTGGGAGGCTTCTCTCAGGTCTCTGCATGGGAAGCTAGGGCTGACAGACGGGAGCTCACTCCGTCTCGTGGATCTGAACCGCCAACCTTCAGGTCAGCAGTTCAGCTGGCACAAGGGTTTAACCCATTGCACCAGTCCGGCTAAAATAATACAATTGCATCAGCACAGTGGGAGTAACAATGAACACAAGTCAAGGCCAAGAGTCCAGTTAATGCAGACAAGTCGAGCACTGCAGATCCAGGTTAGGAGCAAGAAGAAACAATGGCCAAGGTTACACTCCAATTGTCACATTCCAGGAGTTCATTCAATAGAGTTGCTAAAATAACAATCCAGAAGTCAAGGGTACAGACCGAATTCAGAGTCCCAACGTCAAATCAGAAAGTCAGGGATACAAAGTCCTGGTTCATAAATGAAACCAGAAGTCAGTCCAGAATTTAGAGTCAACTATTCAGGATTCAACAAAGTCCAGAAAAGGCTTACAGGTACATGGCTGGAGCCCCAAATTCTAACTGACGGACAGTAGAGCCAAGACATGAGACAAGAGTATGAAGATATGAAGTTATCTGCTACCAAGGTAAAGGTTTTTCGTGTCTGACTCTGGGATTTGGTGCTCATCTCAATTTCTAAGCCAAAGAACCAGCGTAGTCTGTGGACAACTCAAAGGTCATGTGGCCAGCATGGCTGCATGGAACACCGTTACAAAGAGCTATTCTTGTTTAGAATCCCTTTATCCAGAGATTTCAGCTGCTGCTCATTTCAGCAAACCTTCACAGATCATCGTAGAAGCCTGCGATGGACTTCCTTGTGGAGAAGGTAAGGTGAACCCCTTCGAAGTTTGCCGCAATACTGAGAAAAGTACCCCACCGAGTGTCACCGGCTCCCAGTAGCCGTCAACCAAGGCCACACAAATAGAAGCTCTTAGCCCATTCCATGCATTTCTATGGCTTCTCCCCTATGTGGGTCCTTTGATAGAAATACAGATAGTTACTCTGACTGAACCTTTCTCCATGCTGTATGCCTTTCTATGGTTTCTCCCCAGTGTGGGTCCTTTGATGGGAACATAGACTGCCACTGCAACTAAAGCTTTCTCCACATTCCATGCAGTTATGTGGCCTCTCCCCTCTGTGGGTCCTTTGGTGGGTATGAAGACTCCCCCTGTGCCTGAAGCTCTTTCCACATTCCATGCATTTATATGGCTTCTCTCCTGTGTGGGTCCTTTGATGGGAACGTAGACTGCCACTGCGACTAAAGCTTTCTCCACATTCTATGCATTTGTATGGCTTCTCCGCTGTGTGAGTCCTTTGATGGGAATGGAAATTTCCACTCTGACTGAAGCATTTTCCACATTCCATGCATTTATATGGCTTCTCTCCTGTGTGCTTCCTTTGATGGGAACGTAAACTGCCAATCCGACTGAAGCTTTCTCCACATTCCATGCAGTTAAATGGCTTCTCTCTTGTGTGTGTACTTTGATGGGAATGTAGACTGCCATTGTGACTGAAGCTTCCTCCACATTCCATGCATTTATATGGTTTCTCCCCTGTGTGGGTCCTTTGATGGACGCGCAGACTGTAACTCTGACAGAAGCTCTTTCCACATTCCATGCATTTATATGGCTTCTCCCCTGTATGGGTCCTTACATGGTAACGCAGACTGTTACTGCGACTGAAGCTCTTTCCACATTCCATACATTTATATGGCTTCTCCCCTGTGTGGGTCCTTTGATGGCAACGTAGACTGCCACTCCAACTGAAGCTTTCTCCACATTCCATGCATTTATATGGCTTCTCCCCTGTGTGCTTCCTTTGATGGGAACGTAAACTGCCACTCCAGTTGAAGCTTTCTCCACATTCCATGCATATATATGGCTTCACCCCGGTGTGTGTACTTTGATGGGAATGTAGACTGCCACTCTGACTGAAGCTTTCTCCGCATTCCATGCATTTATATGGCTTCTCTCCTGTGTGGGTCCTTTCATGGGAATGTAGTTTGTCACTGCGACTGAAGCTCTTTCCACATTCCATGCATTTATATGGCTTCTCTCCTGTGTGGGTCCTTTGATGGGAATGTAGTTTGTCACTGCGACTGAATCTCTTTCCACATTCCATGCATTTATATGGCTTCTCCCCTGTGTGGGTCCTTACATGGGAATACAGACTGTTACTGCGACTGAAGCTCTTTCCACATTCCCTACATTTATATGGCTTCTCCCCTGTGTGGGTCCTTAGATGGGAACGTAGATGGCCACTCTGACTGAAGCTTTCTCCACATTCCATGCATTTATGTGGCTTCTCCCCTGTGTGGGTCCGTTCATGTACAGTAAGAGAACTTTTGTTTTCAAATTGTTTTCCACATGCCACACACTGATGTAGCTTCTCTTCTGTGTCTGATATGGGATAGGGAGATAGGGAACTTGCCATTTTTTACATTCAAATATTATGCCAGATTTTCACAGATATAACTCCTGAACAGCACAGTTTCTGTATTGCTGTAGTCTTCTGCTAGCTTTCCCAAGCCTTTTTTCAGAACAATCTTATCCCGCCTGCTCCATGTTAATTGCACAGGTATGTATCTTGAAATATAATTTTCCACTACTTATTTTTTATTGCTGTCATTGCTGTGTATCTTGAAGTCACTTTGAACTGACAGCACTCCTCGAGCAAAGCTCTCACAAGGCGTTCTTTGCAGAACTTGTTCAGAAGTTACCTGCCAGACAAGTGAGAGGAAAATCTCTTCAGGAATTGAACAGAGAGAGATCTCATGGAAAATGAACAAGTCTAGTGCTGTAGCAAACTGAGGGAACAGGGAAGGTGCCCATTGCCTGGTGACAAATACACTACTTTGAAATTTGCCCAACAATGATCAATCCCTCCTCAGGTACCAAGGGGACGGTGCCCAAAGATTCTGTGTGTGTGATTTCTTACACTGCAAGGTGTTCAGGGAGGGGCCTTTCTCATTCTCAGCCAGGGGGGTCCTGGGCCTCTCTCAACTACAAACTCTAGAATCCTGCAGGAAAGACACAGGATTTCCAAGGGGAAGCACGCTCTTCTCCTACTTAGAAGGCCAGACGCTAATTGGTTCCCAACTCATTGACTTAACTCAAACCCAGGAGTGCATCATCCACTATCACCTGGACTAGGCCAGAACACATTCCCCAAATGATTCCCTATATACAGTTAATGCATGACTCAGCATTTTCAATAGAAGCCCATTAGCAGTGCATGACTCAGCTATATTACATTACAATACATTGTAAAACCTGACAGTTCTGTATCGGAAACTAGAGCTGAAGGCCTACTTAGAAGGCCAGACGCTTTCTGAGGCTACAGGGTTTCTTCCTCTGTGAGGCTTTTTGGGCCTTCTCCTTTTGAGTCCACCCTCCCCTCCTGTCTTTGCCCCTCTGCCCTCCTCTTCCTGCCTCCCGAAGGCATTGACATTCTTCCCGCCCTTCCTTTGCTCATGAATGGGGAGCAGTGGATGTGTTGCAGCCACCCCAGGCTTCACGTGTTACCTCCAGCTCCACAGTGTGGTGTGTCTGTTTTGAAAGTTGTGTTTCTTAAAAACATGAGCTTGTGTTCCCAAAACACAACTGTTTAGGTTTTACTATTTTAATCTTTTCTTATTAATGGTTCATGAGTTGTAATTTATTTTGAAAGGAAGGCATGATAATGCAGAGCTGGAGCCTGGAATTCCATCAACCTCTGCCCCAGGTGGGGTTTGAAGAGGAGGGCAGCACATCATGGGGAGACTCTACAAGAGAAGGCCCTCCTAGTTTCCATGGGTGCTCATAATTATACAGACTACATTTCCATGTAACATTGCTCTTATCTGCACCCTATCTTTTTATATATCCATTTCTTTAAAAAGGGGGGAGGGGTGAGGTAAAAAGGGGGAAGGAAGATAGGTGACCTCCGGTTTCAAAGAAAGCTAATCTGATACGCTTCACCCTCTAGACCTCTCTATATTTACTCTTTTGCCATATTACATTTCCTTTTCCAATCCTCAATCCAGAAATCTTTCCTCACGTCTTATGTTCCTTAACAATACTTTAAGAACTCATATAAATCGAAGAGGTGAGAGTGGGCATCCCTGCATAGCACCTTTTTGAATTTCACATGGTTTGGTTAGGCTTCCATTCACAATCACTTATGTCGTCTGTCTAGTGAACTGGTTCCCAACCTCTTTTTGTCCAGAACCCATTTTGACCAGGAACCACTCTCCAACATTAGTACCATAAAGTTACAAATCTGTTTTTGGTCAACATTAGATTTGGTTTGGTTATTTGGGGTGCTGATTCAGGAAGTTACATTGGAGAGAACACATCAGCTCTAGTTTCCAATACAGAACTGTCAGGTTTTACAATGTATTGTAATGTAATATAGCTGAGTCATGCACTGCTAATGGGCTTCTATTGAAAATGCTGAGTCATGCATTAACTGTATATAGGGAATCATTTGGGGAATGTGTTCTGGCCTAGTCCAGGTGATAGTAGATGATGCACTCCTGGGTTTGAGTTAAGTCAATGAGTTGGGAACCAATCGGTGATTGCTATGTGTAAATGAATTGTATATAAGGAAGTCATGTACAGTGTATATTTCTCTCCTTGTGCTGTGATGTTGTTCGTCGAAGGCTATATGTAATTAAAAGAACCTGTCTGCTAAGACAAGATATAACTGTATGCTGTGGTAAGTTTGTAATATCATCTAGACTGGGGGAAAGACAATGGTAAAACCGACAATGGCCGGGCATGTGCTCAAGTGTCTGTAAAAGGTTCCAGAGTGACTGCAGACTGTGAGAGCAGTTGACTGAAAATACTGTGCAGGAAGAAGCTACTGGAAAGCGCTGAAGTTGTGCAACTGATCTGCTGCTGAATTGTGAAGTTAATCTCAACAAGAACATATGCCACCCAGTAGTCGCCATCTGCTTGTCACAAGGAACATAATATGCAGATGAATTGTCTTTTTGAGACTTTTTTACAATGTTAAGAAGGAAATCAACACAAGGCAAACACCAATCATGAAGAGTCAACATCTGATCAGGAAACTAAGATGGCGTCAACATATTCCAAGATGGAATATAGAACATATGCCACCAAGAAGTCGCCATCCACTCGCTCACAGAAAGCCATACTTAATAATCTAGAGCTGATGTGGTCCATCCAATGTAATTTTTTGAGTCAGCACCCTAAATTTATTATTATTATTATTATTATTATTATTATTATTATTATCTTTATTTGTACCCCGCTAGCATCTCCCGAAGGACTCGATGCGGCTTACAAAGGCCGAGGCCTCAAAACACAACATAACAATACAAAACCTAAAGCAAATTAAAAACAATTAAAGCAATATTAAACAACAAACAATAAACAATACATCAAGACACTATAAAACTGGGCCGGGCCAGAGTAATGGGTACAGGATTAAAAGTGCTGATGTGACAGGTGATATGTAAGGATTATAGGGTAAGTGCAGTGTGCAGTGTGCGGCAATCTTAATTCTAATAAAGTGCTTCAAGGAACTTGGTAATGGAGATTCCTATTATGGAAAGGCACATCGGAACAGCCAGGTCTTCAAGTTCTTTCTAAAGACTGCCAATGTAGGGGCCTGTCTAAGATCTTTTGGGAGGGTGTTCCAGAGTCGGGGGGTCACCACAGAAAAGGCCCTGTCTCGCGTCCCCACCAAACGTGCCTGCGACGCAAGTGGAATCACGAGCAGGCCCTCTCCGGATGAACGAAGTGAGCGCGTGGATTCATAAACGGAGATGCGGTCACACAGGTAGGATGGTCCCAAACCGTTCAGGGCTTTGTAGGTAAGCACCTGCACCTTAAATTGGGCTCAGAAAATAAATGGCAGCCAGTGGAGCTCCTTAAACAGGAGGGTTGACCTCTCTCTGTAAGGAGCACCAGTTAACATCCTGGCTGCTGCCCGTTGGACCAGTTGGAATTTCTGAGCCGTTTTCAAGGGCAGCCCCACGTAGAGCGCATTACAGTAGTCCAATCTAAATAACCCCAGGAACTGGCCCAAACACCAAGACACCAAGAAAAATGGTTTTTGCTTGGTCTGTGTGATTATCCGTGGATTTTGTTAACGCTCATTTTTTTAAAAAGGAGAGGGGACAAGGTTAAAAAAACAAACAGCAGAGCGCAAGACCCAAGAAACTGTCCCTAACGGCAATAATAATAATAATAATAATAACAACAACAACAACAACTTTGGAGGACAAAACAGGGTCTTACAAAGGGCTGCTTTCCTGTTACAACTTTGTGTTTGGCAATGGGAGCTAATCATCATCATCATCATCATTATAATAGTCACTTTGGGGGACTCTTCTCTCTCTCCTCCAATGGCGCCAGGGAAGCCACGAGAGGGCAACAGTGCGGGCCTCCTTCCCTCTCTGTCTGTGTCTCTCGAACAGAAGCACACACCCCAGGCCACAGACCTTATTCTAGGCCTTGTGCCCATGGGTTAGGAACCACTGGTTTGAAGGAAGTGTGAATGTTGCAATTAGCAAGCTTGAATAGCATTGAGTAGCCATGAAGCTGCAAAATCAACACCCCACCTAAGAACATATTAAACAACTGAACGATTCAGATCTTGAATACTTTTAAAGTTACAGCAACCTGAAATACTTGGAGCCTGGAATTACATCAAGATCTGCACTGGTGGGCGTTGAAGGGGAGGGCATCCCATAATGGGGGAGATCTCAGAAGAGAAGTCCTCCTTCCTCAACCTCACGCAGAGCGTGGCTCTCTTTGGCTGGGGCAGAGGAAAGGGCACCCCAATGAGGGAGAAGAACGTGTCCCCAAATATTCCTAACTGCTCACAGACCTTATTCCTATGGCTTTTGGGGAGGTAGAAGATGCAGGGGACAAGCTCAGGATTCTGAATAAAAACAAGGAAGAATCACAGCGTGTAGCCAGACCTCCGTATCCACGGGTTTCCATGAGATGCATTGCATTCCCATACATTCCATTATTTCAGTTTAAATAAGTAAAGGTAAAGGCAGGAAGGGAGCAGGCTTCCTTTCTGCTGCTGTGCTGGTACAGCTGTACCAGAAGCTCCCACTTTATTTGCTTTGTATTAAATGTTTGCTTGCAGTCCTAGGCTTGGGATTCTGCAGCAGGGTGGCTTCCTGTTAAAGTTTGCAGTCATAGGGCAGGCCACCTGTTCATCATCATCATTAGGTTCTCTAGTCCCGCCCCCTTTTGGGTTTAGAGAAGGGAAGGGAGCCATTTTTTAGTCAGTCTCTGCAAGAATAGCTAATATACAGGATGTGTTCAGGTTTCCTGTGCAAAAGCTTCAACCCTTAAGACTTCCCGAGGGAGAATCTAAAGATTCCCAAAGGTTCCAGGGAAACAGCCTTACAGCCTTGAGGAATTTCGGAATAACAGCTTTGAACATCAAGAACTCCAGCTAAGTGACTACAGGCCTACTGGTAGGTCCACTCGGTTTTGAGACACAGTTCAGCCAGGTAGTGGATCCACATCAGTTAGGTTTAGGTTCACAGTTAGACTGGGAGGAGCTAGAAAGGGATTTTCCTTTAAAGTAAAGCAAAGAAACAGTTAGAAGCCCCCAGTTGCTTGAAGCCTGGAAGCATTTGTTTAACCTTTGAAGACAAAAGAAGTTTCTGTTTGATTGTTCATCAATAAAAGACTTTGTTGTATTTAAGCTCAAGCCCTCTAAAGACTATTTATGGAGGAAAATTCTCTAAGAGCTTCTCTTTGGGGGCCCTGGCTTCCCGTTAGGCTCAAGTTGTACATCCTGTTTTAAAAGCACTTCATTTTAAGCCCAGCGGCGACAGAACAGCTGCCCTGGAGACTAGGATTCCATGGAGCCATGGCTTCAGAGTACAAGAAAGGAAATTCCACCTGAACATTAGTAATAAGAACTTCCTGGCTATGAGAGCTGTTCAGCAGTGGAACTCTCTGTCCCGGAGGATGTGTGGCGGAGGCTCCTTCTTTGGAGGCTTTCAAACAGAGGCTGGATGGGCATCTGTTGGGGGTGCTGATCCTGCTCCTTGGCAGAATGGGGTTGGACTGAATGGCCCACGAGGTCTCTTCCAACTCTATCATTCTAAAGGTTTCCTTTTGACATTAAGTCTAATCCGTGGTTTGGCCCCCCTCTCCATTACTAAGCCGAAGAGCCAGTGTTGTCCGTAGACATCTCCAAGGTCACATGGCCACTGGCACAACTGCATGGAGCACTGTTACCTTCCGGCAGAAGTGGTACCTATTGATCTACTCACAACTGGTGGCTTGGCAGAAGCTGGGGCTAACAGCAGGAGCTCACCCCACTCCCTGGATTCGAGCCACCAACCTTTCAATCAGGAAGTTCAGCAGCTCAGTGGTTTAACCTGCTGCTCTAGTTCTTAGAAGCGCTTGGTTTAACCTCTGATTTCGTAGTAAAAATGAATTATTGTGTTCTGAACTATCCATTTTGAAAAGAGTGCCGCCAATATGAAAAGTCAGGAAATAATAATAACAACAGTAATAGTGTATTTCTTGCCTGTCCCTCCTCAGGGCTCGAGGCAGGTTGCAACCTTGTCAGACACACATTCACCCCAAAACATTTTGGAAAATACACCTCTTAAAACATATTTCTACAAAATGCGCATTGAAATACACAGCAACACAGGTGAAACACCAGGTGCGAGTCCCAGACTCAGGACTCCAATTGCCTGGATGTGGGCCTGAGGAAGGAAGGAGGGAGGGAGGGAGGGAGGGAGGGGCTGTCAATGGGGACGTGGAATGGCGAGAGTGGGTCCGGCTGAGGGAAAAAGCCCTGGTCTCCATCCCACAAAAGGAGAAGCGGGTGCACAAAAGGAGGAGGACCCAAGGACACCCCAGGCCATGCTTGGCAACAGCGGAGGGACAAGGCTGGCTTGGGAACCGGGATCAGGAATCCCGAGGGAAGGGAAGGAGGGGACTCGGCCTGGGGAAGCTCACCTAGCCTCCTACCTTCCTTTTTTCCCTTCCTTTCCCTCTCTCCTTCCTTTTTCCTTCTGTCTTTCCTTCTTTCCTCCCCTCCCCCTAGCCTCCTTTCTCCCTTTTCCCTTCCCTCCCTCCTTTTTTCCTTCTGTCTTTTTCTTCTTTTCTCCCCTCCCCCTAGTATCCATCCTTCCACTTTTCCCTTCCTTTCCCTCCCTCCTTTTTTCCTTCTTTCTCTTTCTTTCCTTTCCTCCCCTAGCCTCCTTCCTTCGTCTTTTCCCTTGCTTTCCCTCCCTCCTTCCTTTTTCCTTCTGTCTTTCCTTCCTTCCTCCCTTCCCCCTAGCCTCCTTTCTCCCTTTTCCCTTCCCTCCCTCCTTTTTTCCTTGTCTTTCTTTTCTTCTTTTCTCCCCTCCCCCTAGTATCCATCCTTCCTCTTTTCCCTTCCTTTCCCTCCTTCCTTTTTTCCTTCTTTCTTTCTTTCCTTCCCTAGCCTCCTTCCTTTGTCTTTTCCCTTCCTTTCCCTCCCTCCTTCCTTTTTCCTTCTGTCTTTCCTTCCTTCCTCCCTTCCCCCCAGCCTCTTTTCTCCCTTTTCCCTTCCCTCCCTCCTTTTTTCCTTCCTTTCCTCCCTTAGAGCTTGGATGAGCTTGGATTGTGTTTCCCTGACTGGCAGAAGGCGGTGGGGCTGAGTGGCCCTTGGGGTCCCTCCCAACTCTCTGGCTTCTGGGATTGCTCCTGTCTCAGTCCTAGGCCAAGGCCTCCTTCTCCTCCTCCTCCCTCGGCCTCACCTTTCTGCAGCTGCTGGTCCTTCTCCGCTTTGGCCTGGAGCTTCTTCTGCAGGGTCTCCGCCTTTCCCGCCCTGGAGCCTCTCGCCTTTCCGCAGGATGGCTTTCTCTGCTGAGGGAAGGATCCGGGTTGTGGGCTGGGAAAGGGAAAAGCAGTCAACAAAGGCACAGCGGCAAGAACCACAATTCAGCAGATCAGGAGCTTCTGACGCTTCCGCAATTCAGGGCGCAGAGTCAGTCTTTGCAAAGTTATACAAGACTAGATTCAAAGAGCTACATAATTAGACAGGAAAGTTAACAAAACCTTGCCATCTAAGTAAGGGCAGACATCTTGCCTTTCTCCATGCTCACAGGAGAGGAATGTGGAGGATTCAGGGGCTGGCCATGTGCTCAAAAGAAGGTGTGTCCCTGGGAGATATTCGTCCAACATGGAAAATACAGGAGGGGGGATCGGCTTCAGTCAAAGCAGAACGGCCTTTCTTAGCCTGCCCTGCAAGGGTGGTGGGTCCCACGTTGTGGCTCTTGGCGTTGGGGAACTGAGGGTTGGTTCTTATTATTAGCAAGTGAATGGTCAGAGAGGACATTCTGGAGGTCAGTTTCCCACAGGAACAAGATACACGAGACGCATCAGATCCAAAGCACCGACTGGCCCCAAAGGAAAGAAGGAAGGAAAGAAGGGAGGAAGCAAGGGTAGGAAAGAAGGGAGGGAGAGAAGGAAGAAGGAAATAAAGAAAGGGAGGGAGGGAGGAAGAGGAAAAGGGAGGTGCCAATGACAGAGCATGCCTCACTCCCAGGGCACCTGGCATCCCTAAAGCACACATCTGAAGGAAAGGAGCACGTTTCAAAACATAACGTGTGACGGCCCCCATTCAAGTGCCCTGATTTTCATTGACACACACACACACACCTATCCATCTTTATACTTGTTTGTATGAAAGGAAGAAGGAGGGAGCGGAGGAAGGAAGGAAGAGTGGAAGGAAAGGAGGGAGGTGCCAATGACACTCCCAGAGCAGCTGGCACTCCTAAAGTGCACATTTCAAAACATAGCATGTGACCAGCCCCACCCAAGTGCCTGGTTTTCCTTGACACACACACCTATCTACCGCTATCTTATGCATATATGTACGTATCTGTGTTTGTGAGTGATGGATTCCCTCTTCCAGAGCCCACGGTGACCCCCACTGGTGATGGACCTGGACCCAGCCTGGCACATGGACCCTTTGGGAATCCCTTTGCGCCCAGGTGGGATTGGGGGTGGGCCTGGGAGTGTGTGTCTGAGCACATGGCACACCCCTGAGTCCTCATTCTTCTTCTCCTGTGAGCATGGAGACAAGATGTCTGCAGTTACTTAGGTAGCCACGTTCTGTTAACTTTCCTGTCTAGTTATTTAGCTCTTTGAATAAAATCTTGTCTAACTTTTCAAAAACCCTGGGTTCTGCATGTGCCAGGCTGGATCCACATCCATGGCTGACGGGCCTTGCAGTGACCAAAAGGGTCCTGAGGGTGAAGGCACTGCAGCTCCCATCCTCCAGGCTCAACCTCCAACCCCGCCTGGGCGCAAAGAGGGTCCCGAGGGGAAGTCCGTATGCCAAGCTGGGTCCAGGTCCATCACCAGTGGGGGTCTTCCAGAAAGAGGGAGCCAACCGGGAATCCCTTGAGCACAAACACACATATAAGCAGACAAACAGATAGATAGATCGATAATTGGATGTGTATGTCAAGAAAACTCAGGGCACTTTGATGGGGCTGGTCACACGCAATGTCTTGAGATCCCTTCCACCCTCCATCTCCCTGTTGTGCCACCTCTACAAAGTTCTGGAGAGACTTATTTTGCATAAAATTACAGAAAAAATAGACCCATGTTTGATCCCACAGCAAGCTGGCTTCAGGAAAGGCAAAAGCTGCACATCGCAAGTGCGGAACCTGACTCAGCACATAGAAGATGGCTTTGAAAGGCAGCAGATTACAGGAGCTGTCTTCATACATCTGTCAGCAGTCTATGCTACTGTGAACCACCGCTGCCTCCTCCTGAGAAAAATGTATAATATCGCAAAGGACGACCACCTCACCCACCTCATAGGAAACCTGCTACAAAACAGGAGCTTCTTTGTTGTGTTCCAGGGCCAGAGAAGCAGATGGCGGAAACAGAAGAACGGCCTGCCTCAGGGGAGCTTACTTGCTCCATCCATGTTCAACACCTACACAAATGACCAGCCACTGCCAGAAGGGACAGAGAGTTTCATCTATGCTGATGATCGAGCCATTACCGCTCAAGCAGGGAGCTTTGAGACGGTAGAACAGAAGCTCTCCGAAGCTCTAGGTGCTCTTACTGCCTACTACAGGGAAAACCAGCTGATCCCCAACCCATCTAAAACACAGACATGTGCCTTTCACCTTAAGAACAGAGAAGCATCCCGAGCTCTGAGGATTATTACCTGGGAAGGAATCCCACTGGAGCACTGCAACGCACCCAAATTCCTGGGAGTCACTCTGGACTGTGCTCTGACCTACAAGAAGCACTGCCTGAACATCAAGCAAAAAGTGGGCACTAGAAACAATATCATATGAAAGTTGACTGGCACAACCTGGGGATCACAACCAGACACAGTGAAGACATCTGGCCTTGCGCTATGCTACTCTGCTGCTGAGTATGCATGCCCAGTGTGGAACACATCTCACCACACTAAAACAGTAGATGTGGCTCTTAATGAGACATGCCGCATCATCACGGGGTGTCTGCGCCCTACATCACTGGAAAAATTACACTGCTTAGCCGGTATTGCACCACCTGACATCCGCCAGGAAGTGGCAGCCAATAGTGAAAGGACCAAGGCAGAGACATCTCCATCCCATCCCTTGTTTGGTTACCAGCCAGCACGCCAAAGACTTAAATCAAGAAATCGTTTTCTAAGATCTACAGAGATACTCACTGGAACACCCCAGCAAGCAAGAGTCCAAAAGTGGCAGGCTCAAACCCAGAACCACAATCAGTAGCTGATACCAATGAGAGACTCCCCCCTGGGCGATTGGAAGGCGCTGAACTCTGTGCTCTGGCACCACGAGATGCAGAGCCAACCTTAAGAAACGGGGGCCACAAAGTGGAATCCACGACGTGCGAGTGTGGAGAAGAGCAAACCACTGACCACCTGCTGCAATGCACCCTGAACCCTGCCACATGATGCACCATGGAGGACCTCCTTGCGGCAACACCAGAGGCACTCCAAGGGGACAGATACGGGTCAAAGGACATTCAACAGATTACCAAGCTTGCAAAAGTTGTGTTTTTTAAAAATCTGTTTGTTTTGTTCTGTTAGAAATGTAATACAATGGTCTGGTTGTTGATAAATAATACGAATAAATGAATAAACCCACAGGCAAGGGGAGAGTTGGAAGGAAGGGGGCCGAGGAAGGCGATGAGGGGAGCGGCCTTCCTCTGGCGCCCTTCCCGAGGGGAGCCTCATAGAATCAGAGTTGGAAGAGACCTCATGGGCCTTCATCCAGTCCAACCCCATTCTGCCAAGAAGCAGGAATATTGCATTCAAATCACCCCTGACAGATGGCCATCCAGCCTCTGTTTAAAAGCCTCCAAAGAAGGAGCCTCCACCACACTCCGGGGCAGAGAGTTCCACTGCTGAACAGCTCTCACAGTCAGGAAGTTCTTCCTCATGTTCAGATGGAATCTCCTCTCTTGTAGTTTGAAGCCATTGTTCCATTGCGTCCTAGTCTCCAGGGAAGCTCCCTCCTCCCTGTGGCTTCCTCTCACATATTTATACATGGCTATCATCATATCTCCTCTCAGCCTTCTCTTCTTCAGGCTAAACATGCCCAGCTCCTTTAGCCGCTCCTCATAGGGCCTCCCTCCACTCCACTCCCTTGGAGGCAAACCGGGACTGATTCACGGGCTGAGCCCGACTCCTGAGCACAGGCCTCAGGCCTCCCTCTCTTGGGCCTCCTCCTCCTCCTCCTCCTCCTCCTGAGGGAATCCCAGGAAGGAGGCCCGTCCACGAGCAGGCCGCCGAGGAGTCTCCGAAGGGTCTCCTGCTCCTCTCTCCTTCCCTCACACACACACTCGCGATGCCATTCTCCCCTCACCTTCCACTCACACACTGATCCCGGGAAGCGTGGCTGCCTCTCCCTCGGCTAGGCCCCACCGGAAGAAGCGCCGCTCTCACTTCCGCCCGCGGAGGCCTCCCCCCCTTCCCTCGGCCTCCAACAGCCTGGCCGTGACGTCACCCCGGAGGCCTACTTCCGCCCGGCGCTGTCATGGCGGGAGGAGGAGGCGTGTGTGCCCAGAGAGGGGCGGGGCTTGGCCTTAAAGGAGCCGCACTGCAGGAAGGAGGCTGGGAGGCAGAGCTAGGCTGCAGCTCCTCCCGAAGGGGCCTGGCCTCTCTCTCCTTCCTGGCCCAGCCTGGGAGGGGGAGGGGAGGGGTCCCTGCGGAGGGAGAGGGAGGGAGGGAGGGTTGGCATGGAGGGAGGCCCCCCCCCCTCTCTCTCTCTCACCCTGGCCAGATCCGCCTTCACGAGGTATGGTCGCAGTTGGTGCACGAGTCTCAATTGTGCAAAGGCCCTCCTGGCCACCGTTGACGCCTGAGCTTCAATGAATGAAGCGAATGAAGAGGAGACTCAAGTACATGTGGCGTTCAGAGCCTAGCGACTCAAAGGGATGGTTCCCAGAGCGAAGCGCAAACAAGGCAAACTGCCTCTGGATGTCAAAACATCCAAGAAATTATTCTGCATGTCGTTCATGCCATTTGACAGACCAAACCTCCAAACGCTGCCAACCTCACTCCCAGGGCACCTGGCATCCCTAAAGCACACACTGGACGGACACGAGCACATTTCAAAGCGTATCAAAACATAGTGTGTGACCAGCGCCATGAAAGTGCCCTGATTCTCCTTCACACACACACACACACACGCCGATCAATCTATGAATATGTTTGTTTGAAGGGAGGGAGGAGGGAGAGAAGGGAAGAAAGGGAGGAAGGGCAGAAGGAAGAGCGGAAGGGAGGAGGAGAAGTGTGGAAGGGAGGGAGGAAGGGAAGAATGAAGTAAGGAAGGAAGGAGAGAAGGAAGAAAGGGAGGGAGGAAAGGTGGGGCCAATGACGCAAACAGCGCAAGCCTCACTCCCA